TGATGAACATCATGTTACTTAGATAATATAGGGCATATTGACTGGCTTTTATTGGTACATATATATGACACAAAGTAGATTGTCTCATTTATTTATTTTTCACTCTTGATATTCATCTGTTGATACTTTTTGAATCAGATAGGCCTACTGCTAATTGAGACGATGTAAAAAACTAAACGGCACTAACCGCAAATTATACCATTGCCATTATACAGACGCCAAACGCCGACCGCCGGCCACAAAAAATGTGGGAGACTTATGACAATATGTCAACACTTCTGGTGGTGACATAACAAAGGTATAATCTATGATTCATCTCCGACATAATGTTACACACCATCGCGATTTTTATAAGTTGATAATTAGAATTTATAGGATGCTATATATATATCAACACTTTCATTAATAAATTACTTGAAACAAAGGCACAATACGCCTAACACTGTAATATATTACTCTAGAACAATTGATACAACAGTCTCCTACCAGCTGTCCAGTCACATACAAAATCTCAAGCACTCGTATACAAAATCTCAAGCACAATTGAATCCCTCAAAAAGTAGGGCAATTGAAACTAAAAAATGAACCAGGAGTCAAATATTTTGTGATACAATTAAGAAGCAATTTACAACAGTTTAAAATGAGAAGGGCGAAAATAAGTTTCTTGTCGGATCGATTCGAAATTTCTGCCTTGAACCATTGGTACAAATATTGACGAGAGATACTTGACGACAAAATTATAAACTAAATATATATATCTAAGAGAAATGTCATGCTCCAGCGCTTTACCGAATAGACATTCCCACACCCTAATATATTATAACCATCTGACATATTCCGTGTTCCAAATCTTTTTTATAATAACAATGATACATCATAATCCATTACCAACTTCATTCGTGCTTTCAATTTACTAAGTAGTTGAATTCCTACCCACGTTTGAGGTGGGGAGTGCTATGATCAGCTGAAAATAACAATACGATGTGCCTGGAAGCCGCTAAATGTCGAGTATTTATGATACAAATGGGATGATAACTGCTGGTGCAATGTCTCATTGTTCATCCAGTTTGGAGTTAATACCCTCTGATGATCACATTCTCCAAATGCAACATCCGCAGGAGAGAGTAGAACCAAGATACCTTATGGATGACTTGTAAAACCCTACACTTGGAGGACGCAGTTATGTTTCATAAAGATAATTTGATCTGGTTCATCCATTTCAAACTAAATGCAAGAAAAGTGTTAAGTGGGCTGCTTTATTTCAGCACGAATGTGGCTACCAATAAAAATACTGGGACATTTTTTTATATTTAAGATTTATTTTCATATCATTTTAAAATTTTACAATTACAATACAATGTTTCTTTTATCAAGTTCTATTTTAAAATTATGTAAGATATTATTATTTTGGTACAATTCCAACTTTTGCTTGTGGATTGTCCACTTAGCAACAATTATTACTTGATTAAGATACTCTTTTTCTTTACCTAAAATACCTTTAAAGATGGTTTGTTCATTTAAACTTATTTCACAATTGTTTCTTATAAAGGGAGTACAAAATTGGGAGTACAAAATTGCATGTTATAAATCTGTGAGTTAAATCATCTTTGTTTTCATTACAAAAATTAAAATTTGGCGTTTCCTTTATTTTCATTTTAAAAACATTTGCCATTTACTGCTGCCAGTTTCTGTAAAATTTAATTAAATGCCAATGAAAATTTCAAGACTGAGATTTTTTGGCCTCTGGCTACGGGCTTGCTATGTCCGCCATTCCCCTCCAGATCCACCCCAATGTGACCCAGCTCATCGTGGCTTCTGTGTATCTTTCGCCTTTGTCCTTGATATGGATTTTTGGGCGAACCAAACATGGATTGCTCAAGTTCCAACACCCCTTCGACGTCGTGATGATACGGTGGTATCATTCTTAGCGACGAGATAGCGTTGTTAGTGCGACATATAATTATGCTTTAGCAACGAGGCATCGTGGCAACGTGGCATCGTGATACCATCGTGAATATAATTAGTAATATTAATACAATTCATGATTATGATGATTGATCTGGGACAAAACGCCCTCACCTGTTGATCACCACTCATCACATGTTAATTAAAAAACAATAGGATATCATATATTTAAATGTCAGTCAGATTGAACAGAATCATGAATTATAAGTTGGAATTCGTTTCTATCTTCGACTTCCAAAGTTATTATAGACTGATGTTGGAGCAAATGAAACCTTGAGAATCAAGAGGATTCGTTTCCCTCTGTCCACGTCAATTGAAAATGTCCAAATATTACAGGCATAATCAATCAATTTACTTTAATGCAATCCTGTCAACGATCAAGTGATCATTGTCGTGAACCTGTAATATAATGACCTAGATGTCATAATATTACATTTTTGTATCATGAAAAAATAAGAAAACCCATTATGGACTGATCGTAAAACTATCTTGGGGATAAACGTTGACACTGATCGGAAAAGATGCGTTCGTGCCGCTTAAAAATCGATCGGCTTTACACCCTCGATCATCTCACAACATGGAGATCGCGTTTGAACAATTTTTCACGTCTGCTATAAACGAAACAGCGAAACGATTCCAGAGTCGAGATAATTTTTGAATAATGTGGTTTTAACTCTGATTCTATTCCGTTTGCTGGTACCGCTGACGTTTTGAAATATTGAGTTAGATGAGGATACATCCGTTGTATTATTAGTCTTTAGCTTTTAGCTGGGATCATGTCAACATTGCAGGTGTAGGCTATTGTTTTCACTGACAGCTAATTTATCTTAACAAGATAATGGAACTGAAGTAATTGAAGTCTTGGCACAGTACATCTTTGCATGGTTGCATTTTGGTGCCTGTATCAAATTTAAATCCCTGGATTTCTTCTCTTTTAAAGTCCACAATATAACTTACATTGATCTTGGGTAGAAAGCAGTGACGTTAAATGTTCTGGGGATGGAGTGTTGTGGGATCCACTGCCTCAGACCCACAACCTTAAGATAAAGAGACTCTGATAAATCAGAATGGGTATGGAGGGGTACAGAAGGGTTTGATGCAAAACTATCATTCTGGTGTTTTAACAAACAGTAGCTTACTGTATTAATATTTACCTCGAGTCTGGTTATTTTGGAACTAAACCAAGACCTCCAAAGTCACCCTGATTTGAAGATTTAGGTTTCATTTACAATTCAGAAGGCGAAACAGTTGAATGAATAAAACAATTTCCAGTTAGCTACTGAGAGTTGTCCGTCTTAAGCGCCACTTAAACAGAGAACACGCTAATGAGAAGTTACTTAAGAGACTCTACGAGAGGATTAGGAAAACACTTCGATGAAATCCACTCATCAATTTCTGGAAGTCTTGAGATTGCTTGTAATTTTAAAGCATATTCAGCGTTTAGCATGTTTGATCAATATTACGTTTAATCTATGTTGCAGATATTAACATCAACAACAGGTTGTTCAGATGATAGTGCACTGTTGTAACAGTTATACCGACGCTTTCTCCTTTATGAATTCTCATTTTCTGTGACATCAATGATTTAAAAACAACTAAAATAAGGGGGTAGCTTATGATAAAGGGAATAATCTCAATTATGGCTTCGGTGGCCATTTTTCACACAGTAAGAGCAATCATTCCCGTTTGATGAAGTTTTTTAATCATTGCAATCTTGGGACTATCAAAAGAGAGATACATATTATAGTGCTTCTTTGTTTTAATCACTTGGATCATTTAATTGAAGAAAAAGCGGTACATATTTACTGGTATACACGATCCTCAGTATTTCCCTTGGTAAATATAAACGAGAATAGAAATGAGAGCAATAGTATTTAATAAGAAAACAATTAATAGGAAAATCCGTCCTTGATTAAAATCAATTCAAAAGTAACTGACGGGTGTGACGAGTTTTTCTAAGATGGACACAACACCTACACTTATCATTTCACTAACATTTCCCGTTAACACAGGTATGATCTGCGCTTTTTTGTATTTGCGGATTATGTTTCCTGGCTAGAAAGATTCTCCTTCGGAAAACAAAATGAGATACATGCCATTTGAGTATAAGGATATTTCATACTTTCATTAAAGAATAGCCCCTCTGCTTAGCTAACAGAGAGAGTCTGATGGATCGGGATGTTTTATGTCCCTGTTTTATATAAGTATCCCATATCCCGACAGTAACCTATTAACAAGGATAAAATCATTAAAGAATCATACTCATATACGAGATCAGATAAATATTGCAGTGATCAAAATGACTTGTATTTGAATAGGCGTCAGTTACATCCATTGATATATTACTGTTACGGTTATGCCGACCCTGCACTTCACGTTAATTGTGATTTGCCTGTAATCGAATTACAACAATGTTTACATCTACAAATTGAAACTTTTCCCGCTTATACAGCTTTGATCGTGCAAACACCATGATCCCCATCCACGAATTTCTGAGGATAAACACCGGCTCTTGAATGATAAATGCTTTGATCCCCACTTATTGATATTGTATCGATAGTTGAGTATCATCACGTTATCAAAATCTAGTATCATCTAACCCATAACAACAGTAACAACATTGAAACACAAAACAAACAATATGCACTTATCTATGCACTTAAAATGACAGCGCCACATTTCATAAAATTAATGATAGCAAGTACAATGCATGGTACGTCAAAATTTAAGGTCAATATTAATTTTTTATTGCTTCAATATGGATCGATTCTAACATTGGATGATTAACGTATTTGTGCATATGTTGTGAACATTTAACCCATTAATGACTATAGGGTCAATATCAAGGGTAATCACAAAAAATAGCAAGTAACAATTCCACGATGCGTAATTGGGTTCTTATTTTGGTTTGAGGTTAGTGTCCCAAAATTCTGAAATTAACAATCTGTTCAACGATATGACACATACTTTATTCAAATACGTGTTTAAGTACGTGTTCAACCTGATGGTATAGCAAATTAAAGATATTTTCTTACCCGTTCCGCCTATTCCAGCTGGAGGGATAGCATCTTGAGGTCCGTGTACATTTGGGACGGCAAATGGCCTCTTATCCATGCCATCATTCCCGTTCACCGCGCTAGTCTTGGGATCAGGGTCGCTATCACCAAAACCCATCCCAATAAAATCCTTTTAATTGTGTTACATCGTTAATTATATCCTAAAACATGTTAATATCTCCTTGAAAATTATTGTCAATAAGTAGTACGGCTAGACTCAGTGAGAGTGGTTGATATTCCAATAGTTGTTTCTTATATTCAACGGATCGATCAGCTTGCTTTGAACCCGGGATTGTGTATAACAGTTCTCAGTTACTGCATTTGCCTTATCTACTCGAGTCACAGGTGTATCAAGTTTCTCTTATACACATTCCCCGGCCATAAGTTTTATCACAACTGTTGCATATTGCGGATACGATACTTGACGGATATCAACGCACATCTACAAATGATACTAGTTTTCATAATATGAGATATAAGAGAAAGGGTAATCCAAATAAGAGCCTGTGAATAGGCTCATCCACTCATTAATTAGCATGTTGTTGCGACAACAATTGCAATGTAAGTGATGTATCGAGGAATCAGGAAATTAGAGGATGTGTCGATCGGTTAACACCATCATAAATAGAAGGTCTATCCATAAATAAGTGATGGGGAATCTCTCATTTTGAGAGAGAAATGTTGCCCCAAGTCTTTTCTTTCGTCATCCCAAGTTTCTCTCAACGTGGTAATTCACGCACTCTCCATATCTGTCCTTTTGGGAAAATCTGCAATGCAACAGAGAGATTTGAATTTATAGGTAAATATCAAAAAATTAACCAAATATTTATCATTCTATAAAGCCACATAACTTTCGTAAGAGAGAGATAGCGTAATCGTGGTGAACGCATCTACCTTGAAGGCAAGGGACCGCCAGTTCGATCCCAGATATTATCGTTAAAACATAAACTCGGCCAACTCTCTCGGCCCCTTGTCTGTATCAACCCCTTTTCTGTCTCAAATTTTACACATTTCATTATTAAACTATCTATCCAAAATAATATTCCTGTATCTTAAAACGCTTCTAAAAATCCTAATTATCGAATATGGAAATACTTGAACAATAAGTATCAAAACTCGAAAGGGAAAATGTTCAACTACGATATTACATAGGGGAACTCCGGGAAACCTTACCAATTGAACGGGCGGAGAAAAGCAAGGTTTACATGAAACTCTCAAGCCTGCAACCTCTACCTGAAGCCAGAGAGCTGGATGCATTTGGGTTTAAATCTAAACTGTATGAGGGGTCATTTTCTTTGTTGTTTACCCACATTGTAAATAATATTATTATTGTATAGCAATCCGAATGATCAATTCCTATTTTAGTTCACTGTATTTGTATTCTTATGAATTGCTCCTTGATGTCATTTCCACCTTACTTACTTACAATTTGCTATTTTATGTCATCAATAATATGTGTTGCCATAAACTTGCCAATGTATCTATTCTACTATAGTACCAGTGTCTATATACCAACTGTCCAAATTGTTTCAAATATAAAATTATGTATGACAATGTTCACATTTTAAGTCAGTCATTTTGAATTTTTTTGTGACCTGAACAACCACAAACCACATTAGGCTCAACTTAGTACCACCTTCCTGTTAGAGTACATTCTTGCCACTCTTAGTCAGAAATTTAAAAAAGTTACAGCATTTTTATCAGCACTTATCGTACATACAAGTTTTGATCGAGTATCTCTCTTGTAATGGGGGTCCATAGAAAAGCCACAAATATGGCAGTAAGAGGAGAATTGTGAAGAATACCTTTGGCAATATACAGGGTGTCAAATAAGTCTGTTCTCCCCCCTTAACTTTTTTATCTTTAAATTTATCATACTTTCCCATATATCATTTTGAAGCTTATGGAAAATGCTGATCACCCTCAAAAAATCAATCAAAAACTCCACCTAATAAAATTGCTACAATGTTTTTTGTAAGGTTGTAGTTGACCTTTGATTATGTCAAAACAAGTAAAATTACCAGGTATAGTGATTGAAAAGTGAAAATGATACTGCAGTGACGATGCCAACATTGAGTGATTTCGATGTTTCTAAATATCGTTACAGAGTAAAATGTGTTATACATTAAAAAATGTGTAAAATGTGTTATTACATTCAGAGGAGCTTTTGAAGCAGGGGCATCTTTCATCACAAAATAGTTGATAACAGCCAAAATTAAACGTTCTGAATGATTTATACGGGCATATCCTCGTAGAATAAAGGCCATCCGGGCTGCTGGGGGAGACATACAGACTATTAAAAAAGTGAAATATGGACATCACTAAAAATACTGTTAAAAATTTGGAATTTAACCAATCACTCTGAAATTTGATGTGTGATCAGCAAATTGAATTCCCTTTAAGATGGTATATACCAACCCTATGTTATTTCTGAATTAAAAAAGTTAAGGGGGGAGAACAGACTTATTTGACGCCCTGTATATCATAAAAAGGCAAACTAGATACTTCGGGCATTTAAAGTCGAGCACAGACGGGAGCTTACTGAACGAATCATTAAATATGAGTAAAACATTTTACTTAACTAACAATACTTTACATGGCACAGACAACTCAGAAATATTCTATACCATATTAAGGCAAATGAGGGGAAACTTAGATATTTCAAACAACTACACTTTGGACATGAACATTACCTTTCAGAAACGACCCTTTCTATTATATCTAGTAAACACCTCACTAGACTATGTATGAGCACCCACAATCTTGGAATAGAAAATAGATACCACGAGATTTAAATAGGAGATTTTTCAGTAAAATACCTGGTATGTAAAGATCCGGCGGTGAAAGATGAAGCGCATTTTTTTTATTTGAATACAGGGTGTCCAAAAAAAAACAGGACCGTAAGAAAGTTCAATAACTCGGTCAATTTTGGATATTTTGCCTTGAAATTTCAGAATTATTTAGTTCATTCAATGTGAATTTTGTTGTAAAAGATTGATAATAATCTATTAATTGAGTAAAAAACTACAGCTCCTTACAAAACATGCCCCAAATGTGCAAATCTCATCTCTATGCACAATTCAATCGGGCAAACAAAGCTGTTGATGATCCTCCTACACACATTTTTTTCTGAATGGACAAGTTTGTTCCAAGAACAATTGCTACTGGGGCTTACATCCTTCTGAATACAGGGTGTCCAAAAAAAAACAGGACCGTAAGAAAGTTCAATAACTCGGTCAATTTTGCATATTTTGCCTTGAAATTTCAGAATTATTTAGTTCATTCAATGTGAATTTTGTTGTAAAAGATTGATAATAATCTATTAATTGAGTAAAAAACTACAGCTCCTTACAAAACATGCCCCAAATGTGCAAATCTCATCTCTATGCACAATTCAATCGGGCAAACAAAGCTGTTGATGATCCTCCTACACACATTTTTTTCTGAATGGACAAGTTTGTTCCAAGAACAATTGCTACTGGGGCTTACATCCTTCTGATGAAGTGTTACAGCATCCATTGCATTCTGAACAATGCACTCCCTGGGTGGCAATGAGGAAACATGGAATCATTAGTCCCTTTTGGTTCGAAGGTGACTGGGTACTTGGTATCACCATGAACAAGGACCAGTAAGTTCTCACCAAGTTTTGGAGGTCACTAAGCACCAGAAGGGTCATCTAAGGAGAAAATTAAGCAGTGGTTTCAACAAGCCAATACCACCCCAACACTGCAAATGATATGCTGAAATGGTTTAGGCAATGCTTTGGTGGTCAGCTCATCAGTTGCAGAACGCAAACCATATGGGCAGCCCATTCGCCTGATCTAAATCCCCCAAATTTTTATCTTTGAGGATTTCTCAAAGCCAATGTGTATACTGACAGGCCCCTAACAATCTTAAGAGGGCAATAACTACCCCAATATTTACCATACACATTAATGTGTATAGGTAAGGGTCATTAACAACTTTGTTCGCAGGGTTCGTTTGTGCATAGAGAGGAGAAGTGCCCACTTTGAGCATGTTTTGTAAAGGACTGTAGTTTTTGACACAATAAACAGATTATCATCAAACTTTCAGAACAAAATTCACATTGAATGAACTAAATAATTCTCAAATTTCAAGGCAAAATATGCAAAATTGATTGAGTTATTCAACTTTCTTACGGTCCTGTTTTTTTTTGGACACCCTGTATATGAATGAATATCAGACAATCTTACATTGAAAAACTTGAAAACCTGTGCAATAATATAAAAAAATGAGTGATCATCATAAGACACTTTTTCTTTTAACGAGCGAGGGATCATATTAAAAGCTGGCATGATAAATAACCCAATGATTAGTAGAGATAGGATCCTTATTTCAAAATAACAGTATATACAGGATGTTTCGTATGTATGCACCCGCCCCCTCTAAAAAGCGTTGCCACCATTTCATGTTATATATCATTTTGTTCCTCATGGAAGGTTACATAAGATTCCAAAGTTTCAGAATCCAGGGGTGTCACTGACAAAAGATACAGTGTATCAAAGATTGTGGATACGGGTCATTAAGGTGGCAATTTCTGGTGATTTTGAGGACAATTTAAAGGACAAAATCAGTTTCTGTATTGCATATTTCCAGCTATTTTCACAATGGCCGAGCTCAGTCCCCATGTCTGTGGCAGTTATACAGAAATATATACAGACAGGATTCTTGCGGTGGCTTATAGGGAGGTCAGGGCCCATGGTACCACCTTTATCTCTAAACATTGGTAGCAGACAAAGTGAACAGATCACCAGACTGGCTCAAAAATACTTACAAAACAGCTTATAAATGACCCCCTACCCACATATTTTGGTGGATTGTATCTTTTTTCAGGAACACCCCTCAATTCTGAAACTTTCCAATCCTATGTAACTTTTTATAATGAACAAAATTATATCTAACATGATAGGGTGGCAATGCTACATGTATGAGTTTAGAGGGGTGCATACATATGAAACACCCTGTATGTACTATTTTCATTATTTTCTTTATTTTTCTTTTCATTATTTTTACTGTAATTTTCTTTTATTGTTAGATGTACATTTGGCCCAAATAGGGCATCAGTACAAGTAAATCCTATTATATAGGTGCCACCAGGAGTCTCAACAACTATTGGATTTGGGTGTCGTTCAGAAAAAAACGTCCTGTTCTTTTAAGTCTCCTGGCATCAGCCATGATGATTTCCTTTCCTTTGTAGGGGTTTATACACAATGTTTCTTTGAATATAACTCAGGTAACAATTTGAAATTTCTCATCAATTTTTAATTTGTTTTTGATAAATTCTTCAAGAATAGTCATTTTAGAGAGTGTGGTTGTCATGCGCTCGTGCGTTTTTTATCATTGGGCGTATAGTTAGTGACACAATTCATTCTTTTCTTGATCCTGGGATTGTACTACTTGAATTTATTTTTTTAACCGTATATTTTTCATTAAATATTCTAAAATATTGATATACTTCCGGTGCCAAATTATTAGTGTAGTGGTTAGCACGTCTGCCTTGAAATCGATTCTAGCGAGTGACACCTCTAGCAAACTGCCAGGTATTGCTTCCATTAAAACGGTGAAAATGACACTTTTCGGTCGCTTGTAGCTGAACAAATTCTACAGTTTTCACTATTATACTCTACAGAAGATGAAATATATACTCAAAGAAAACGACTCACCGAAATAATGAGTATACATACCAAATATGTTTCTGAATACATGTTCTTATTCCATAATACTACTGTTTTCCCAGGGAAATATGAAGGAATAAAAATCGTATTGAATCGTATTACATGAAAAAATCGTATTGGAGCATATTAACCTATTTTCGGTTTCCCGATTATTTTTTCCCAGTTATCTACATTATCCAAATGTAGCATTTTAGAGGGGTGTATTATGGAATAAATAGGTTATTTCTGGTCGGGATTGAATATGGGTTTTATTCCTCGGAAAATATGTTATTGACCTTGGTCTATATGATATTGACACTCGGTCGCTGCGCTCCCTCGGTCAATATCATATTATCCTTCGGTCAATATCATATTGTCCCTCGAAATAAAACCCATATTCAATCCCTCCCAGTAAATAACCTATATATCTTTCCCTCAGTATATTTCCCGCAGCCCGAAGGGTTACCATGGGAACTAAAATTTTGATATGCATTTTTCTCTGAACCATTTTCATGCACTGATAAGTTCAATTCTCGCTTATTTATGAACCGATTTTGTTGTTGATTTTGTTAGTTTAAATAAATTCACGATTTTTTGAACAAAAAGTCCATTAAAAACCACTTTTTGAAATTAAAAAAAAGTCTCACATATCACACTTTGATAACATTGGATAAGACAACAATATAAGCCTAAGTGGTTTACACTTTATACGGGGACTTTAATGACTTAAGGAAGGGAAGCTAGGGTGATTCTATATTTGCGCAACCAGCACGACCAAAACATATTGATATGTGTAGAATAATGTAAAATCAAAAATAAGGATGTCTTGTAACCCAGAAAAATACAATTGGACGATTCGACAAAAAATATCAATAGCTCCGGGCTAAATATTGGTTGGTTCCGTCATGGGGAGAACTTTGCGAAAGGATGAATGACATCCCATCCAAATTGGAGAAAATGAATTGTCGACAAAAAGTATCAAGACTTGAAAGGGATCGTCATACAGTTGATTTAATTTTGTGTATGTTTTGACAGTCTGAAATTTTCCAGCCTTTTTTCCTAAAAAGGTTCAACAACAACAACTCATCCATTGAACCACGTCAAAAGAGAACGGTAATCAAGATACACTCCCCTCCATAAGTTTGGCAACCTTAGCTCCCCCATTGAACTACGTGTTAAAGCCTCTTTACCTTTGAATTTTTATTTACTTAACCTGTGATGAAAATACTTGTACTATTGATGGAAACGTAACTTGACTTTATTTCCAATACCTCCAAATTATTTCAATTTTTTTCTCGATTACAATAAGTCGTACCCTTTGCATTCGTTTGACTTCACTTCTTAAAAGAGAGCTTTGTCTTAGTTTGTCTGTAGTTTAACTAGACTCTGCACGCAGGGTAAATAAGTCGAAAATTGATGATAAATTTAATGAATTTTTGAAAATCGACATTCCAATGTTAACCAATGGGAAATGGTAGGTTTACCGCAAGTCAAATGACAGAATATCCATCCATCCGAGTCCTTGCAAAAATACGAGTTAGGCAGGCAATTGAATTTGCTAACTTTATTTAACAAAAAGTTGATATGTACAGTTCGCCCTTTCGAAAGTTGCATTTTAAAAAGCGTAAAATAAAATACTAGTACTTGACAAGAGTGAGATCCATGAATTAAGAACACAACTATTTATTTCGAATTGATTCTTTCGCCATCTATCAAACAAATGAAAAATATATTTTACGTTACATTTTGAATATAGAAATAAATAGTTTTTTTAAAATATATATCTATTGCAGTTCGTTTAAAGCATTAAAGCTAAAATTCGTACATCTTATTTAATTTTTATGTAACCACCAAAGGTGTTGACATATTGTGATAGTCTCAAACTTTTTTCTTGCAGCTGTTGGCGTCTGGTAATCGGCGTCTGGAGTTCGGGGTCTGTAACAAATGGCAGGTAGTGACCTTTTGCATGGTAAGGCTTTGTTTGTTGCCTGTGTTGGTATATGATATATCTATGGTGTTACAATAGCAATGGTGTAATGAAGCAGCCTCACATCGCCACCAAATCGCCTCATAGCATACAATGTAAGATGATATTTGTTAGATCGGTTGACGGGTGATTTTAAATTCAATTTTTTCGTCGTATATATGTTTCGTCGGAAATGAGCAATTACTTTCCAGCGGCGATTCTGAGTTCATGTTTCATGGACCTTCTACTTCATGTACCTGCAATTGATGGATTGATTGACATTGGCTCTGACTACTCTAATAGGGGCTTGTTCGTGATTCAACTGCAACCCGACCATTAATGTCAGAAGTTAAAGCTGCGGGGCGATTGTGAAGAGTGTTGACAATCTGCCTTGTATGTTATCTTTTCCCCTTACCTTTTTTATACTTATTGCTAGCTGATTCATACCTTAAAAATGAAAAGACAATTGTAACAAATATATTAAAATATAGGTACATGCTAAGTCTCAGGACAAAGGATATCATATTTATTCTCACCATTGGATATAATAAACATTGAAAAATAATATATCATTTACTGTATATTACAAAATATTGGATTATCAAAAGGATTATTAGAAAGACATTTTGCAATAACAACAATTGTTATTGAAGTTATTTTTCCTGGTTGAACATTCGGGAGAACTGCAGATGTGAATCTTAGAAATCCATTTTTGATATTTTTATAATGGCAGTAAATAGGATACTCCTCGTTTTCTTATTATACTGCCTGATATTAGCATCCGCTGGTAAGTTACTATGACTCCTATCTACTAAGACTAGCTCCTAGTCTTAGTTCCTTATCAGTTAAAGAGTTCCAGTTAATTTTGTTTGCCAGTGTCAAAATATGATGATAAGATGAAAATACATTGCCTGGCAACCAGCCTCATCACATCCTAAATTGGTCAAATTCTCTCTGAGTTCATTGAATCTTACGAAATGATGTGTTATAACTAATAATGACGCCAATTGTTTAGTAGAAGAGTAAGTATGCCCTCATTTGAATGAGACATGAGCTCTAAGCGTACTATCAGTTGCTTTTGATTTATCATCAAAAACAAGTTTTAATACTCATTATGGTTATACAATAGTGTTTTTATGTTTCCACCTATGTTTTTCACGTTTTGGGTTTTCCATGTGTTGCTCTTTGTGCCATTCCCTATTGTGCCTTTCATGAAACGCCAAACCTCTATATATACTATGAGCAATACCAACACCACTGTTTACTTCTCTTGACTGGAAAACTGCAGTAGGAACACTTTTCTCAGTATTTCCCCACATTGTAAATGCTACTATATTGTTATTGAAGACCAATCTAAATGATTAACATACCCATGTTTAGTTCATGAAATTGTTGATGTTTACATTTGTTTGTACATGTGTTCATTAAATGTTACCTCTTGTGATGTCTGATGAGAATGTATTAAAGCATTAATGTAGACACATTAACTGAAACGCACAGAGAAATTGATGTAAAATGTGCATTTCGGTATAATCGTGTTATAAAGTGATGAAGATTGACATCGAATTCGTTGTTAGTGAATCGGAAAATAATTGAATGTCAAGCAAAATCTATTTAATATTTCAGACTATGTTCGGATGTGCTACTTCACTAACTGGGCGCAGTACAGAAAGGCCCCAGCAAAATTCTTCCCCGAGGACATAGACCCTTTACTATGTACCCATGCCATATTTGCCTTCGCTGGAATGGAGGGGAACAGATTGATTCCGATAGAATGGAATGACGAAGATTCCGAATATTCTGATGGAATGTAAGGATACGTGCATGTTCAAAATTATCAATGAGTATCAAGAATTTTTAATTTTATTTGCTACAATATGCAGTTATGAAAAAAGAAATACTTGGCGATTGCACCAGTTCAGTTTGAACCTTTGTGATTTTGTATTAAACAGGCAATGCGCCTATATTTGAAGGAAAAAGGACAAAATATTATTTGAGACATGTCACTCACACAGTCAATCAAATATGATGAAAACTTTAATTTGGGATAATACTGAAGTGAAAAAAAAATTATTCGCATAGAAAACTGCATTTGAAGTTCAGAGATTGAAAAAAGTGAACTACCACTTTTCACAAAATGTATGTTTTAAATAACTCTTGGATTAAAAGATGGCGCATGCTTGAAAATCCTATCAAAAGTGAATGGATAATCAATGCAAACAACAATGCCATCTTTCTATGGCATTGCTAAAAACTTGACACATATAAATTGATAGATCAAAAATATTTTTTCATGATCTAGTGTCAAGTCTGATGTGGTCTGTTTGAGCTATTTTTGGTGTCAAATGAAATATCAGGTACTTATTTATCCATTGGAAATACTATGAAGATCAAAAGTGAGATTTCATTTCAGCACTTTGTCCCTTTAATTTAATCTAGGTATACTCGCTTCATAAAGCTAAAAGAAAGAAATCCACAACTAAAATGTTTAATAGCCGTTGGAGGTTGGAATTTTGGAGTTAAGAAAATGTCTGATATGCTGGCCACAGAAACCAACAGGCTTGAATTCATATCGACCAGTATTGAATTCTTGAGAAAGAAGGGCTTTGATGGTTTGGACTTAGATTTTGAGTACCCTGGTGCGCGAGGTAGTCCCGTTGTGGACAAGCAGAGATATGCAAATCTAGTCAAGGTACAGAATAGACACGCTACTTCAAATGTTTAATGACATCTTCCCCTATATTATAGATTTTAAGCTATCCAATTTGGGAGTTATGATTGCTAAATAAATTGTTTTGAAGGTGAATATGTCTTGAAGAATATTTTGATCAAGATTATGCCAAGTCTTATTATATGATTATGGGTAATTGCAAAATATTATAATGAATTTAGAAAAGCTAAACAATGCGAAATTTCAAGAGCTAAATTCATTTGGATATTTTCAGTTATCAAAGTATGCCACAAAAAACGTGGGATACTATGATGTTTTTAGTTTTACTGTTGTTTTTTGATGTCCATATACAACCGTGTTAATATAACCACATCAACATGTACATATCTGTAGGAAATGAGGGAGTCTTTTGATATTGAAACTCTGGAGAGTAACAAACCAAGACTTCTACTAACAGCAGCTGTTTGTGCTGGGAAGACAATTGTGGAGAATGGCTATGATGTGCCAAAGGTATCAGGGTAAGTGCTTGTCGTTAAACCTTCTCATTACCCCAAGTAAATGAGAGGAAGATTTTGTGTTACGCAAGTGAAGATGTTGGTCTCTGGTGGTTTATTATCCCTCTTCTGTGGCGGTCGATATAGATTCGAGGCATCTTTCCTTCCACTCCTGAAAATTGAGCTGTCTATGAACAGTATATTTATTTATAATAGTCTTTGTAATTACGAGAGAGTCTTCCAGACTTGAAGCAAGAAGCTCAGCAATTGCTCGATTTCATCATCTGGGAATACAAATTCTTTTTGGCGATAGTTCAACGATGTTCGATCAAAGGTAAATTAGCATTCATAATCCTGAACTTTTTTGTTTATAGTGTAATCATTACATTTCAATGTAATCCATTCTTTGATATCACGATTTTTAGGTACCTTGACTACATCAACCTAATGGCGTACGACATGCACGGAGGTTGGGATAAATATGTGGGCCATAATGCACCACTTTTCCCAAGAGAGGCTGAACAGAACTTTCAAAAGCAATTAAATGTAGTAAGTAAAACGTGAGACACCAAAGACTATTACACAGTCACATCTACTTTAATGACATAATTACATTGGTGTATAAAATGGCGGAGCAGCGGGGTATAGCGTCTTAGAACCATTTCATGTGTCTGTAGCACAAGATCCAGAAACTTTACTATATTTATCTATACTTCATTGAATTTTTTTAGGAATATGCAGCGAAGTTTTGGGTTTTCAAAGGTTGCCCAAAACGCAAGCTTGTTATTGGTTTAGGAACGTATGGTCGAAGTTTCACCCTAACAAACGAGGAGGATCACGAACTTGGTGCGAAGGCTCTTGGTGGCGGAGAGCAGGGGCCTTACACTGGTGAAGCAGGGTTCATGGCATATTACGAGGTTTGAATATAACGATGCAACATTTACCTTTTGATGAACTGCATAGGTATAATCGTTGTATTTTACATTTTCCTGGGGTGTAGATTTCCCAACTAGTGGGTAACTGTTTTTACTGTCATGAACATCAACGTATCGATATATAGAGAGAATAGCTTACAATGAATGTGCGACAATTACTATACTAGTAAATGGACTGATTATAAATCGGTATTGTTTGCCTCATTTCCTGTTAAACCCGAACAATTCTCTACAGGTTACAATCAGAGAGATGGAAAAGCACGTAGTGAGAACAGATATGATCTAATTATCTGAATCGTATATTTGATAGGTATGTGAGGTGATGAGAAACGGTGCTACCCGCTACTGGGACGATGAGGCAAAGATCCCTTACATCGTTGCTGGGGATCAATGGATTGGATACGATGATCCTGAGAGCTTAAGGCACAAGGTATCAAAAAGAGCAATTTATATCGTGAATTCCTGGACGTATATAACAAAATAATTACTAGTATCTGTTTCATATTCAGGTTGTTAGTGTGTAATTAATGATGATGGCGATTGATTTTTGGATTCATGTCCTTCCAAAGGGGGTGCAACGGAAATAAATTATAGAGATATGTTTTAGGTGAACTTCATTAAGGAAGAGGATTATGCAGGTTACATGATGTGGGCGATAGATCTTGATGACTTCTATGATGGTTGTGGGACAGGAAAATACCCACTTTTGCACGCTATGATGGCGACCATCACATGCTACGGTACTGCGTGTCAAGTTCCTCCATTGTAAGTAAAGTGTGATTTCAATTCTCCATTTCGCTGTTCGCTCTTTGAATCAGAACGTTCGCATATATGGTGCATATATGTACTCAAAAAGGACAAAATTTGATTGGTCAATATTTTTCAACGATGCATTTCGTGTAGCTATTTGTGAGACCCGAAAGTTCTAAATCAAATTAATTACGCAATTTTGTTTTTACACCCGCAAGCTAAATAAAAAAATGACACCATCGGAATTCTTCTTCTTTGTCATTGAATTAATAGTCAGTATACCAGATTTAATCAATAAAAGATTATACAATTAACAACAAAATTCGGAAACGAGTATGTAAGATTTGCTTTCGAACCACTAAACTTGACCTAGATAATAGCGACGTGTCTTCTTTGGTCAAATGCTCAGTTGTTTGTGGGTTTTCAACGTAACTCTATAATGTAATATGAAGATGAGTACTTTTATTCAGTTGTTGCATCGATGTTACAGTTTGTAGTGCGGTAATATTGGCATGAACGTGTTGAAAGTCGAATGGAATTGCTTTTTCCAATATGGCGACTAGTCACGTGACTTCTTCTCTTCCGGAATATACTCCCATTTTCAATCATTGTTTTCACCCCGTTAGGAGCCAATAAAATGAAAAAAAATATATGTTATATAAAGATTATTAAAAGACTAATTGTTTCTGATAGTTTGTTTTCTCCGATCGCATGGAGATTCGATCGAAAATATCGCTTGAAAAATGGGTATGAAAATCCCCATGTTAAACCAACGGGGAAAAACAAGGTAGAAAAATTTTGTTCCCCGCGAACTGCATCATGGGAAATATTTTGACCTTATAAGGAAAAACTTTCGCGCCATCTTTATTAGAGATTCAATACTACCGAATCCGCGATTTTAAGAATTCATTGTTTAAAAAGAGGACATCGTCTTTAAACTGCACAGTAGTTTATAGCTTATGTACCTCATGCAATCATTCTAAATGCATGACTGATGATAATTATTAAGTGCGACTATATTGTATGAGTGTTGGTGTAAAACATATCACTGTTACCTTTATGTTTAGACCACCAATAATCGCTCCAACTGTTCCCCCTGAAGGGTCAATACCAAAAGGTGAGTAATGACGTCACAAATAAATACTTTGACGCGTGAATAATACTATTTGCTTTGATATCTGTATGTCACTAATACATGTACAGAAAAACAGCAACGCTTTAAAATCTAAGAGCACCAGAGCCATCTTTCACTTTAAAACAGAGAATATCTGTATTCTTAGAATGTAGAAGAATATCACTACTATTATCATTATTTTAGAGCCTGCTTTCCAATGTGGTGCTAAATCAGCTGGTTACTACAGAGATACCAGGGTGTGTACCAAGTTTCACTATTGTACCGGCGGAGTTGACTTCGGGGTTCAGGCATGTCCGAAAGGACAGGTTTTCTATGATGGCTGTCAATGCTGTGACTTCCCAGAGAGACTCCCACAAGGAGACAAATGTGCACAGAAGGCTTTAGCAGAAGCCAATAAGCTGAAGAATCAACCGATAAGAAATGGTAACAGATTAAGATATGCTCTAAATGATAAGACAAGCTATTAAACAACAGCGTATATCATTTTGTCTATCCTAAATGCAGTTTGAAATATTATGTTTATCTATTCCTGTATGAAGGTCCCCCCGAGGGAGGTTACAAACGTGTGTGTTACTATACCAACTGGGCACAATATAGAGAGCCTCCAGCAAAGTTCCTCCCAGAAGATATAGACCCACTTCTATGTACACATATTGTGTATGCGTTCGCAAACATGGAAGATCACAAACTAACACCCCTTGACTGGAATGATCCTGACTCTGAATCGGGACTAGGCATGTGAGTACAAATATATAATAAGTAAGCCAAAGGGTCAAAGACCAAAGAGTATTTCTAAACGCAATTGGAATTAGAAACATTTAAGAACTAACCTATGACCAACAGAGTATATACTTCTGGTATTGTAGTCTTGTACCAATTAGATGTATCAATCTCTTTGCGGAAGAAAAAACAAATTGTACCATTATTTTCATATTATATTTGACTTAGTTGACTTATGTTTTTGTTCATATTCGTCAGGTTTTCCCGAGTGAACGGATTGAAAGCTAAAAACCCAGGTTTGAAAACATTGATTGCTATTGGAGGCTGGAGTTTTGGTACAGAGAAAATGACGGCTATGTTAGCTACCAGGGAAAATCGAGCGACATTTGTGAGAAGTGCTGTTGATTTCGTCCAAGAATACAACTTTGATGGACTTGACCTTGATTTTGAATACCCTGGAGCAAGAGGGAGTCCTGCAGCAGACAGGGAGAGGTTCACAAGTCTGTGTAAGGTAAGTAAAATCCATAGTTTTTGTTATAAAGTTTTGTTCTAAATCACAATATATATTTAACCTGGGGACAGTCCTGTCTTAATAATCTGTATTAAAGTAGATAAAACACATTTTATTTCACTTTGAAAAATGATTTAATTCAGTGTTAATGTCGTCCAATAGGAATTGCGTCAAGCTTTTGATTCTGTATCATTGCGCCAAGGGGGCAACGCAGCTAGTAAACTACTTCTCACAGCGGCAGTGGCTGGTGGTAAATGGGCAATAGATGGTGGATACGAAGTTGCAGAACTAGGAAAGTATGTGTTGCAAAATTACACATAAGTTACACATAACACATCGTAACAGTAACCACTCATAGGAATCCGCTTTTTATTAAAGAGCTTCTGTACAGCAGTTACTTTATTGAACGCCAAAGGTTACCTTTTCAGGGTCCTCGACTCTATCCATTTGTTGACATATGACCTCCACGGTAGTTGGGAGTCTATTACGGGACATAATGCACCCCTGTATCCGCACAGCGGAGAGTGGGGAGCACATAGATTCCAGAATGTGGTAAGATAGTGTCTGTTTGAATGTTCATAAATGTAAGAACAAATCAATTAATCGGTTTAAATCTGAAAATAACCAGCAAGGACAAGTAATAATTTTTCAACTTTAGCATTAAAATGTATCTGTGCATACCCATTTCAATTTCAGGAATGGGTAGCTAACTACTGGGTTGAGCTGGGGGCTCCTAGAGAGAAAATCGTTATTGGCATGGGTACATATGGCAGATCCTTTACTCTAGCCGGAGTTGCTAAGACTGTTGGTTCAGCTGCAAGTGGACCAGGGGTCGCTGGCCCATATACTGGAGAGGCAGGCTTTATGGCATACTATGAGGTAATTCAGATTGGATCATAGCTGGACCATGTTATTTTCTTGGTTCGTTGTCATATGTTAGATCAAAACAATTCTGATTAATTGATATTTTTGAGATGAACATATTCAACCAGTTGAAATCTTAGTTACCTTTTTAAACTGTGTTTTTGATACATTTTAATACATTTCCCCCATTTTAACACATACACGTGTACTTACTAACACATAATATCTTTACATCTTTTTAGGTTTGCACAAAGGTAGCAGATGGTGTCACACGATTTTGGAACGAGGAGCAACAGGTACCATACCTAGCTGTCGGCAATCAGTGGGTCGGGTATGACGACGAGAAGAGTCTTAGAATTAAGGTAATTGTTTCACCTTTTTTTCACACGCATTTATACTATAAGGTAAAATTACACCATACATATCTAGTCTAATCATTTTGACAGGTGAATTGGTTGAAGAAAAATGGTTTTGGGGGATGGATGACATGGTGTTTGGATCTGGATGACTTTGGTGGAATATGTGGAGGGGCCAACTATCCTCTTCATAGAGCACTGAAGAGTGAATTGTTTGCATGCGATCAGATGGCATGTGAAACAAAGTAAGTCCAAATAAGGACTAACACCAATGTATTTACATCTCTGTAAGTCAAAAGATATCAACCACGATATATCTAGTAATGAATTGTCGTTTAGGCTGTAATAACCTTTATTTAGATAATATTTAAATCACCAATTCTTAAAAGCAAGCTAGGCATCAATTTTCATTGTAGGCAGACACTGAATTGTTCATACCATCATCTAACACTTTCCTTTACTATATATTTTGATCTTTAGTGAAACTACTGAACAACCTGCTTCTGTTTCTGAGCCGCCAGGCCCACAGTCACCGGCAGATCCGGAGCCAGGACAGCTCCCACCTGGCATAAATCCCTATCAGAAGCCAAAGGTTGAACAGCCTGTTGTACCTTCATATCAAAAGCCACAGGAAACAACAACAACCCCCAAACCAAGAGAAACAGGATTACCTAAATTGAATGCTTCTGGTATGTCAAAAATAATTCCAATCTTGGCTGCGTCTTTCTAGGCTATCCTGTATTTTGGATTACTGACCTCAAATATTTTGTTTGACACATTTTAGAAAGTATTATTAGAAAAACAAGTTGTGTTACTAGTTATACTATCATATGCTTCGTATCGTTTTATTCAGTGGAAAATATACATTTTTAGATCCTCTGAAATGAGCAGCATCCTATATTCATACTAACGCCCTGTATCAACTATTTTTAGAAATAAGTAAACGATCTTTCAAAAAGGTGTGCTACTTTAGTGGTGAGGCCAAACGGAGAGCGAATCCATGGAACCTTCAACCCATCACCATTGATCCGTTCCTCTGCACCCACATTGTTTTCACTTACGCTAAATTAGATAAAAATGAACTAAAGGCAAATGAAACGACAGATGAATTATTGTAAGTATGAATACTAGTATTTAAAATGTATTTTGATTAAATGTCCCATGACCTTCTGGTGTTGGATTGTGATTGATTGTGTTTCCTGAACGAACAATGGCGATGGCGTAAGACATTGTTTCTTTGTACACTAGATCATTGTTTGGGACATTTTAATGGCCTGTTGTGGTCTAAAATGTTCCATTTCTTAACTTTATTTTTAATTCTTTTTTGTCTCCCTTTGTGGCACTTGCATTTACATAATATGACCATAGTAAAGAAATAATGAGAAAACAACACCAAGCATAATCCTAGTACTCATTTTGCCAAATATTCAATGAGACCCATGTTGTCTATTAGATGCGTAGAGGGTTTTAATTTTCTTTCAGATACAAAACAATAAATTCTTTGAAAGACGCCAACAAGAATCTCAAGACAATAATAAGTATAGGTGGATCTGAAACTGACCAAGAAATATTTGCTACGATGTTGGCTTATTCTGAAACACGATATCACTTCAGTCAATCTGCGGTTGAATTCATGAAAAGAAGAAACTTTGATGGACTAGAATTGTCCTTCCATTATAAGAATTCAGATACTACAATGTTAAATGACATGAAGGACAAATACAGCTTACTTATCCAGGTAAGTAATACAATTGTGGTGAGACATTTTGTTCCACTTGCGATGAAATCTGTCATTGCCATTTGAAAATACTCCTTAATTGTTTTAACATGTACTTGACAGAAAGTCGAGGAATTTGATAGTTAGATTTTTCTTTAGGAACTACAAGAAGCGTTTACAAGTGATGCCACAAGTTTTGAAAGACCACGATTTTTATTATCAGTCGCTATTCCTGCTAAGAAAGATAGGATAGACACGATTTATGACCTCCTAAAGATTGCAAGGTAGGCCTACAGATGATTTTGATTCATATTGGAACATACAATGCAATTATTGCATTTGAAGTAAGAATGTATGTGTCATATGCTGTTGCTTTTTCAGTCATGTCGATTTTGTAAGTCTTCAAACTTATAACTTCCATTGTCATGAGGAAGAACATACAGTGCATGCGTCGCCCCTTTACGCTTCAAGTAGAGAGATACCACCTGATCAAGTTCTCAATGTCGTAAGTTATTCGATTGGGTTATTCTTATGAAATTTTACATTATATCTTATTATTTTATTTTAATTGTAAAGATGTTCTCCAATCGAGCTCTCTGTGCATTTTCCAACTGAGAACGAGCATGGGATGTTTGATGGCTTCATGATTTTTCTAATCAATCTAGAATTGGGCAGCAAGTTATATAGTTCAACATGGAGTCCCAGCGCAGAAGATCATGATTAACATTCCTACCTATGGGACTACATATACATTACAAGACACCAGTGAATATATGCTGGGTGCCGAGGCCATTGGACCTGGAAGTGCCGGAAAATACCTACATGAAGTCGGCACACAGGCTTATTTTGAGGTTTGTGATTTTGACACACCTAGGGAGAATAATGTATCAGATCCCTCTCTTTCTACCTAACTTAAAATTGATACGTCTGTGAAAAGTAATGCAATAAACGAGCATCTCATCCACATTCTGATGGCTTGGTTGACATTTTCAACTTGTCATCAGTAATCTGTTTATGTAATCTTAAATGTATTACAGATATTCCAATGTCTTATATGGGGTGGTACGAGTCACAGGGACGATATCTGTGTATCTAGTTTTCAATATATTTTAGATATGCCACTGTCTTATATGGGCTGGTACGAGTCACTGGGACGATATCTGTGTATCTAATCTTCAATATATTTGAGATATGTCAATGTCTTATATAGGGTGGTACGAGTCACTGGGACGATATCTGTGTATCTAATCTTCAATATATTTCAGATATGCCAATGTCTTATATGGGGTGATACGAGTCACTGGGACCTTATCTGTGTATCTAATCTTCAATATATTTCAAATATGCCAATGTCTTATATGGGGTGGTACAAGTCACTGGGACGATATCTGTGTATCTAATCTTCAATATATTTTAGATATGCCAATGTCTTATATGGGGCGGTACGAGTCACTGGGACGATATCTCAGTATCTAACCTTCAATATATTTCAGATATGCCAATGTCTTATATGGGGTGGCACGAGTCAATGGGACGATATCTGTGTATCTAGTCTTCAATATATTTCAGATATGCCAATGTCTTATATGGGGCGGTACGAGTCACTGGGACGATGACCAGTTGGTTCCATACATAGTTGACGGTGCTCAATGGATTGGATATGAAAACGAAAGGAGCATACAGGAAAAGGTACGAGACATTTGGGACGTTTTACCTTTCAAAAATGTTACACATAATAAACGTATTCTAAAAGATGAGTAATGATATGATGTAGTTTATTACATGAACATAGATCTTCATTATCGAGTTTCACTAATGTCAAAAACAAAACACTCTGTGAGATCCAAACCTTTTGTGTTTGGTTTTGAAGAACTATAAGAAAATGTGTTGACTTTCACAAAATAGTTTCTGTTGAAGCTGGCCTCTTGAGTCTTATTAGACTAAATTATTATTGTCTTTCATACGTCTAACTCGGGTGCTTATAACAGTCATAAGTTCCTTATTATAATTTAGAGATAATATATATAGACTATATATTGTTTGACTTTACAAAATGAATTCTTTATAGTCAAAAGATAGAACTTGTGTTGTTTTAATGATGTTGTTCTTTATGCCTTTTAATATATAACACCGTTTTCCTAGAACACCTTCAATATTCAAAATCAAGAGTTTAAATTTAAATGTATGTTTCAAACTCGTGAAAAGATGGCGCATCAATTTAGATGAAGAGGACATGATGATACGATCCTTATATTTTAGAAGAAAAGATGGCAATAATATGAATATATTTGATTCCAATATGTATTTTCCTTTGACAGAAATGGCCTTAGATAAGTGCCTGGCCAAATAATCCAGTGATATAAGCGACATAACATCAGACCATCGAAGTCATATATACATCTGTCATATCGTTTTGTTCTATTTTGAGAGTCAAGCTTGAATTCACATAACTCAACATTATAAGATTCTGCTGTGTACAATTGAATGTTTTGAATTTCCAGGTAAAATGGATGAAGGAACACGGGTTTGGAGGGATAGCCATTTGGTCAATAGACCAAGATGATTTTAAAGGTTTCTGTGGTGATGGTAGATTCCCTCTGTTAAGATATGCAAATCTTGCAATAGAGACATGAGCGATCAGCAATGTAAACTTTATGAAGATTTAGACGATGTATCAGTTAAAACAGTAGTTTTGTTCAGATTTGCATCGCAGACCAATAAAGCTTAGTCAATTTACTATTATTACTACATTAGAGTCTCCGGAATATCGTTATGACTTATTTAGAATACAAAGCTACATCGGTTGAGTAGTCATGAGAAATTGGATTTCAATCTGTCTTTGCATGCTGACTGTATTCATTTATTCTATGGAATACTCTTATATTGTCATGACAAGATTGTTGAAAACATTTAGTTCCTCTTTACCGATAAAGCAATCTTTAAATAGAATATCGATCTTTTCTTGTATGTCTGTCCTGTCACATTCGTCTCGGTAAGCTCGTAATCATCGGATTGCGCATGCGCAATGTGTGATTTATCCATATAATGCAATTTTCTCTGACACATTGTAAACTCATTGTAAATCAGAGAAGCTCTCATTAATTAAAATCTCATTACGTCCTCAGACATGTCCCTGCAACATGACAATGTGCTGACGTAGAGCATATTATGCGATCTATTTACAATAAGGTGAGGGACTACAGGAAGACGCCTTTCTATAAAAGAGAAGGATAACTAGTATTCAAATGGATTGTAATACTGTTTTCTTTGTAATCTTGCCTTAAATTGCGATGCAAATGAACATATGAACTGTGGGTTATAAAAATATTATTGTTTTGTAAGTAACAGTAAAATACAGAAATAGCAATATTTTGTTCATGTATTTAATAATTTGTATATTCACGTCATTCTAAATGGACTTCAAATCGATTTCAAATAAGTATAACTTGATTTGATAAAGTGATGTAACATGCATCTTTACATCGAATATGGTTGGTAGAATACTGAAACTGAGACATAAATACAGATGGTGACCTACTATACGCGAGGGTGATCTTAATTTGGAGCACTATCAAGAATACGTGATCTACAAAGATCACTGTTCATGGTCTTATTATCAACTAAAAATACACGTTTGACAAACAGGATACATGTCCTGAACGATCTCACTTTAAACTAAAAAGGACACATTTGATGAACAAGATACGTGACCTGAACGATCTCAGTATAAACTAAAAAGTACAAATTTGACAGACAGATTACATGACCTGAACGATCTCAGTATAAACTAAAAAGTACACATTTGACTAAAACAGGATGAGTGACGTGAACGATCTCGATTTAAACTAAAAAGTACAAATTTGACACAGGATATATTATATGGCCTGAACTATCTCAGTATATACAAAAAAGTACAAATTTGACATACAGGATGCATGACCTGAACGATCTCACTATGAACTAAAAAGTACACATTTTGAGAAACAGGATACGAGACCTGAACGATCTCAGTATAAACTAAAAAGGACACATTTGATGAACAAGATGAGTGACGTGACGATCTCGATATAAACTAAAAAGTACAAATTTACGAGACATGGGCGATCTCGGTATAAACTAAAAATTACACATTTGACAACCAGGATACATGTCCTGAACAATCTTACTATAAACTAAAAAGGACACATTTGATGAACAAGATACGTCACCAGAACGATCTCAGTATAAACTAAAAAGTACAAATTTTGAAATTTTGACAAACAAGATACGAGACCTGTAAATGTATGATTAAAGTTTCAATAAAAATTCATATTTGTCAAATACGATGCGTGATCTGTATGGTCTCAGTTTCAGTAAGTGCGAGGGCTAAGAATGCTCTCAGCCTAGGTCGTCCCATCCTTTAAGATCGGTCCTTCACTGCTTTCATAGCAGCCCAGGTATTGTAATTATATGAATTCGATCTACAAATACAACTTTTTAATTACCTACTCTGAAAAAAATTAAAATCACATTTTACATATATAAGTGAGACATACAAAACAAAATCAGACAAACATGGTATGTGTTATCATTAACTAAAAAAACACCTTTGGAAAACATAATACATATGATTGTCATTAAAACTAAAATACTTAAAAGGCTTAGGACTATTAAAACTAAATATAATTGTCCAATTTAGACTGTCCTCCAAATTTTTGTTAACCCCTGACTCTCAATTTGATATTTTTCCATTACATTAGATTGTAATGTGATATACATATACATTTAGGTGGTCCACTGGGAGAGTTGCAAAAGTTTTGGAGGGGTGCACTGTTGTAATTATAGAGATCATATCATAAAGCTATAGTTGATTAAACACAACACCTCTGATATAACTCAACATGTAATAATTCTCAGACAATTCACATCAGGTGTATCAGAGATAACTTAGAAACTAACAGGTGTCGATCTTATTAAAATCATATTGCACACATTAAATATGAATACCTAGAGAGATCTTTTAATTACAATGATTTAAATTGGCTAATGTATCATCATAATAGTATATAGTGAAGCATCAGATTGTAAAGATACTTAGAATAGTTATAAACATGTTCACATCATATTGCTACGATAATCAATAATTTTCATTCAACAGCTTTACTGATGCATGATGTTCAAAACAAAATTTCCGTTGGTTACCCATAATACGTTGCGAAAGTAACCTTTCAAACGATAAAAGATTAAATAAGGTATCTTATTGAACATAAAGGAATTCGTGTGAGTCTTTGTCTGGATATTAAAACGGAAGAACGTTAATGATGCTATGTCTTTGGCTTTAAGAGATCGTAATAATGACGTATATGATAAGAAGACAAACTATGGCAGTGATTACCGATGTCAATGTCTCTATGAGACAATACGTCACGTGAACATCTGGTATTAGTCACGTGGACAGTAACCATTCACAAATCCTTCTCTCGCGAAGCTTCTTGTTGACTTTGGTCTCGATACCTTGAGAATTCAAAATGGCGGCGAGTTCAGCCATATGTGTATTTGAGCCATGACTGTAGACGTCATCGTCGTCATATCCTACGTCATTATTGCACTCTTCGGCGTTCCCACCTTCCTTTACCTGAACCCAGGTATCAGAGAAATACTTGTGGATTTCTTTAATTGAGCTTCTTTTATCTGGACAAGGTTCTAGCATTTTGCGAAATAATTTCAGTAGTCTTGGAGAAAACTTTCTCCATTGGGAAGGTACCTTAGTAGTTTTTCGTCGTTGCCAGTTTAAAAATTCAACATAGTATATATCCTTCCTGTGGGCATGTTCCCATGGAAAGTTTCCAGTTAGTGTACAAAATAGCAACACAACACAAGCCCAAACGTCAGCACTTGTTTCAACACTGTACCGTTCATTTCTCACAGCCTCACAAACCTCGGGAGGCGTGTATGGGATGCTACCACTGGTTTTTCGGACCATAGTACCAACCTTCCGAGTCATTCCAAAATCAATAAGTTTGATTCGTGTCAAATTATGATCAAAACAAAGAATGTTCTCCGGCTTAACGTCCCTGTGTGCTAAGCTCTTACTATGCATAAACTCGAGAGCGGAGGCTATTTGTCTCATCACTCGCTTGCATATCTCTTCTCCTAATCCAATTTGAGGAGTTATTGCTTCAAATAGATCACCCAGTGGTGCGTATTCCTGGGCAAAAACATAGGATTCCATAGTCTCGAAGGCAAAATCATATGTCTTGATAATAGCCTCGTGTGGAGAGAAATAATAGCTGTAGCAAAATTCTCTTTGGAAGTCACGATATTTGGTATTTTTCTTAGGAAGCACTTTTAAAGCCACTTTTGTTTGTGTGTCTCGACATTCTCCGAGGAGAACCTTTCCATAGGTACCACTGCCTAGCTCTTTGATGATGTCATAGCGTTCCTCGATATCTAATTGGGCGAGAGATTCCGAAACGCTGCTTCTTGGAGAGCATTCCGGATTCATACTCGGTGGTATACATTTTCCATTTAGACTCATCATTATCTCAGCAGTTGATGTCTTAATTGATATCAAATATCACTTTTGTATTTCACAACCGCATTGTTTTTTAAATGCCTACATATCCAAGATAGTCTCTAACGCTGTATTGTACGCGCCCATTTTGTGTTTTTAACTTCCCATTGTAGCAATAGTCGATTCGTTTTTGCACCCCCTGTTGAACTTCTGAAAATACATAGATAACACTAATAAATTCAATGTACATATTCCAACTTATTAAATTTGGCAGATAAACGTGGTAGTTCGACTCTTCTGGTTTTTACTTGTGTCCCAAATGGCCCCCAACAGTGACCATCAGTACCATATCAACGCTTATTATTGTTCACACTGTAAGGCATGTTAACAATGTCGTGACACGTAAATTGTCAAACGCTTCATATTTGTCAATAAAACTAACTATGTATTAACATACTGCAGTATCGAATTTTCTCATTCTTGTAGTTTATTATTTACACTTCATTTATGTTTCGACCTTTCATTCATCTTGTACAGTACCTGGCAAAAATTGTTTACTTTTTAAGTGGTAAAGAATTGTTATAATCGTTTCTGTTAATCTAATAGATTAAGATTCAATCACGACATTTTGCTAACACAGTATAAATGTGTTCGTTGTCCAAGTAAATGTCGTTACACAGTTTGCATAAAATATTATGAATCTCAACAGGCACACATTACCAAACATCATAGAATTCCCTTTCCTCATCCTAAACCAAGCTCGTATATCATATATTGGAGCAATTCATGAGTGCAATTTTGAAGCTCTCCTTGAATGTATTTAACTATATCCTACCGCTCAGCATTAATATTGTTTTATTTTTTAGTCAATCGGGTTGTCGAGTATCAAATCAGGTAAGCGTTTATTTATAGCAATCCAATGACGCATCATACGTAATCCCCGTAATCTATATTTTCACAGAACCGCCTGAATACGTATATTACCCATGCTTGATCAATCGATGGTACTCTTACTATCTAGATAGAAATCCATTAACGACTAGAGCTCATCAGTTACGAAACTAAAAATCAAGATAAGATCATTATATCATGAGTATAGTTTTATAGCTTGAATTCGTAATCGTAAATACCCATCGGAAATCTATGTGCGTAGCTTTCATGTTTAAATCACCGTCTCACGATCATGGTCTCCTACTCACAGTGTACGTAAATTCAGTGGTAAGATTACCGATATTATGACAAAACAAATTGCTTTTGAAACGTTTATTATCCTAGGTAGGAAAAACCGTAATCTAATTATGATTGAACAAGGTGTTCAATCAATAAAACGGAGCTATCGATAACTTTGTTGAGTACATCATCGTCTATGGAGCTATAACAAAGGCTATCTAGCGTGCTAGGATAAGTAACAAAGTTATAGCAATAATATTCAATAGGGCAAATATAATATTTAATAAATTCTTTCGGAAATAAGTCACGCCTTGAATCTGCGAATCAATTTAATAGTACTTGTGTGTTTGTAGACTAAAAACATTAATTGTTCGTGAGACTGATTTAACACTACTACGAATAACATAGATAGGATTTTTCTATTGAAAAAATGAAGGTTCAAATTATCGTTGGAGGAAAACGACTGAAAATCTCTTAATCCAACTATCTATCAATAAGACTTATCTCTCTGACAATGAATCGCTGAGTTATACAAAACACCTTTTTCATTGTTTCAATGACTGGCTATCTAGATAGTCCTTTTGCAAGAGTATGGTTTTGCAAGGTAGGCATAGCATTAGTAAGTCGATGGGCTTCAGGGTAGCATAGCTAGATAGTATAGAAATCACATAATAAGAAGGAAGTACTATTATATCTGTAGAACAAGGTAACGTGTATGAATTAGATCTATGTTATAATATTAGACGATGAGGCCTAGGGTTGGATGCAAGATTCGCCTTTCATTCTGGGTCAGCCATAGAGCTTGAACAATCCTGCCATTTCAAGCAAACAAACAATCAAGCAAGCAAACGAACAAACAACCAAAAACAAAAAACTTATTGAAATAATTTTTCTCGGCGATAGTCAAATAAAATATTATTGTAGATTATTCTATCGTCTCCATTCGTCCCATTGATGAAGCCATCTCATCATTGTGGCACAGTCTCTACTTTCCTATGGAATAGAGACTAAGATAAAGAGAGACTCTGATAAATCAGAACGGCATTTCAAACACTCACCGAATCTTCTCCCTGTGAAGTATCATGTTATCTCCATTTGATGCCCCATTGTCAGTTCAACACTACGACCCCGTCGAGAACTGACATTGGTATTTCTATTTCGTGTCAATGATAACCTAGAATGTCTTATGTTACTTAACGATCTATTATTAAAATAGTAGCAGTAATAAAAGAAATTGTATCCTCAACTCGCAATGTTCTCAGACTGATTATATTCTTGATTTACATGCATTTCAGAAAAATCCCATATGTCCTGAACTTCAAGAGATATATTTATACCTGGCTTAGGTTAATCTCCAGATACCTCAGATAGGATAAAATCGGAAAAGTTGCAGCTCCTTATAATTTGATTCCTTTCCATCACTTCATCGTCTATTCTATATCTTTATCTTAAGCCTATAAAGTCACGAATATAACATTAGTAGCAGCTGTATATAATAACCCTGAGACGTTCAGTATCGGGTTCATACACAGGCTTTCCATAGCGAGATTGCGCCATATTGGGGAAAAGACGTGCCGAGCATACCTGTGAATCCCCATGTGCAAAACAGGTACAAAGTGCAAATACAGTGAATGAAAGTCTACTCCACGATGAGCTTTGAATTCGTCGACCAAACCCTTATTTAAATATTTAAAAATTTGGCGTTTGAAATTTCTGTGATTTGATAGGATTTCTTCCAATGCTTATTCTTTTAAGCCGGCCATTTTCAGGTTATCTGACCATCAGAACTAAATTACTATTACGGGTATAACGTTGCCCAGGTGTTTGAAAACGATGACGGGTCAGAAGTTCGAGAATGGTTTTAACCTCGATAAGTCCATGATGTCACACAATTTTTCCAGATATTTTTTCCTTTTAGAAAAGTACTATTCTTTTAGAAAGTCTTACCACAGTAACCTTTGTATAGGATTGACACCTCGAAAAGCCTTCTGTTTCGGGGTAACGCTATTAGAGCGAGGGTTAGCTGTATCTGGGCCACAATGGATTAAATTAACGCCGGTGTGACCGTTGAAAACGTCCATGACATTATAAGTCCGATGGATGTATCTTCCTATGAAAATAGGTCCAGGGACTTATATTTCTAGGAAAATAAACCCTTAGGACATATTTTCCTTGCGACTATATGTCCGATACCTTGAAAATGGAAGCCCGTCTGGAAAATACGTCCGTAGTCATTTTTCATGAATATTATAGTTGGGAAAATACGTCCGACTAGGACAACATATACTAGGACCGGAGGTTCCTAGGAATCGTGATCTTATGGACGTATTCTCCAAGCGGACTATTGCTCCAGTCGGTTTCAAACGCTGGGGTCGTCGATATGGTATGGTGAGAAGAACGTTCATAAAATTAGTGAAATGGTAAATCACATTGAGGAAGTGGCTTGGGAGATGTTTTGTTGCTGTAACAAATGATGATGATCAATGAATATCCCGAAGGAATCGCCTTACATACGTGGGTTTGCTAATATTCAAAGCCTTGCCCAAGGAGATCGGTCGAGGTCTGACACGTAGGTGTAAAGTTCGATAGCTTCCGTCTAGAGGCGGATATCAATCTCATTATTCGTTACGTTATGTTGTTTAACATTTGCATCTCGCGCAAAGAGAATATTAAGGGCGAGTGCCGCTAATCAAGATACGTCTTCCTGTGACGGATATCACAAAACCATAGTTTTCCGATCAAATGTCAGGTGTTACCTAGGTTACTCCAGTCAACATGCATACATTGCCTTATATAATTCATGTTAAACCTTATTGTCTCACGGTGTGTAAACGTAACGCAGACTGGACAGACCATGTTCATGTTCAGGCTGAAAACAGTTTAGGCCCTAAAAATTGTCCAGAAATTTTATAGGGCCTGAATTGGTGGGCCTTTTGGGCATTATTTTTTAATTTTACGCCAAATTATCAAAAAATGGGCCTCAAATTTTCAAAAATGTTGGCCCAATTTATGATTTTAGAGGCGGAATTTTTTGTTCAGAATTGAAATTTGGGTCCCCCTTGTTAGCTTCTGAATCCGCCAATGCCACCATATAATCAACGAAAACATCATTCCATCAGAGTAAAAATGAAAGTCTGTCTGGACAGCGCTACGCTTATACACTGTGTGTTTGTCGGTATTATTTGTAGATCGATTGCCATTAACACGTTTCACTTTTCATCCATAAATGGGCAAAAGAACCACTGTAGTATGTACTGGTAACGACAAGGGCGTCATCTGGAGCAAATCAGTCCTTTGTATATAAGGCATGGTACCAACTTATATCCAATACAATAATAATACTATCAGTCGTTTCAATTTATCAATTCATTTTCCGATTTATGTTGTCTTTTTATAAACGGACTAAATAAGTGCACATATGTTATTTTCAATACAATCATCGATTTTCACAACAATGATTCAAAAACATTCGTCGTTAGCATTACGTACGTACGTGTATATGGATTTGCGTTGTGTTTCTGGTAGATTTTGTTGTTGATACTAGAGTGATCATTTTCAGATTTTCTTGACCCACTCTGGCGCCCAGACAGAGGCCTGTTGAAGAATCGTAATCATACTTTATACATGGTATAGCTATTGAAAATAGTAAGACCAATAGAGGTGCATGCAACATTAGCTGAAACCTATCATTCCTATTTGATTATTCCAGTAAGGTGTGTCGTAATATGACAGTAACTGAAGAGATACGAGGGGTGATCAATAAGTAATGGACGCTTTTTTACTCCTTCACGGGAATAAGGATATATCAACATGTATTATATATTTTGTCTTCAAATTTTCAGAATTGATAGATAATTAAACGATGTATCACTGGTAGGAAAATCAAAGGGATTGTTCAATAAAAATTATCTGTGTAAAAAAGCGTCCATTACTTATTGATCATCCCTCGTATATTGATATAACAGTACGCATTTCCTACGACAGCACAGAGTACAGTATACCTGAAACATCCTTGCAAGAAAAATGATAATGTAAACCTA